ATGTTTTCTAGAATTATGCTAAGTGAAGAACAAAGTACACTGTGTTATTTCCATTTATTACAACCATGTCCATAATTTACAAGCTTATTATGCAAGCCTCATACAAGGGAAATCAGAGAATAGTTAACCACTGTCAAAGAATGGTGAGCCAGCATACATTTTTGTCAGCTACATTTTCTACATGGACCTTAAAAGGGGCATTAAGATCCACACATTCACATTATTGGGAATTAATATTGAAAAGGACTATTTAAAGATAATTTTATGAAAAGCATTAGGGAGAAACCAGGTGTTCTAAATAAGTAACAGTTGAATATGATACAGGACTAAATACAATGACAAAGAAATATCAACATACAGGCAATGTGCTTTGTTACATATTGTTTTTTAATAAAATGTAAGATGAGATTTATAGAGAGGAGAATATTAATTTAATCATGTCCATTTTCTCTGTGATGGTACACCCTTTCTCGTTGTTTTGAATTTAAAATGTACACCTTAGAAAGCTAATAATTTCACAGCTATTTTGGAAAAAGTAAAAAATATTTTGTTCTGTGGACTTGCAGAAATATTAATATTTCAAAATGTATTTCAATTGTTTCTGGCTTAATGAATAACAGAACTGATGCCTTAGAACAACTCTATTACTGAAACACTAATTATTTCTAGATAAATACATTTCATGGTCCATTTAGCTCTCCAAGATATTTATTACACCAAAATCACTTCAGGAAAACCATGTTTTCCTTTTGATACCACATGTATACTATGCTATACAAAGGTACAACTATCATCAGAAAGAATTTTGATCCCATCAAAAAGACCCATGAAATGCTTGGCATAAGTTATCTAAACGTTTTTATTTTAAAACTGCAAAACCTTTTGGGTGAAAAAAATAACTTCTTAAAAAGATTCAACAAATGCACATTGAGTTCCCACTACGTGTCAGGCACTATGCATCAGAGTAACATCCTAATTTATTCAGTGTCTGATGTCAAAATGACATCAAATCTTTAATAATAAAGCACTCTGAAACTCTAAAACCCTCAATACAACACTCCTCCATTCTCCTTGCCATGGGCTTTTAGATGTTGCCAGATAAGGCACCAGAGATCACTGGCCCATGAATACATGTTATTTCCATGACCACTCTTGCACCTGCAGATCAACTGAAATACGATTAAAACAAACAAACATGGTTCCTGTTGGCTGTCCTTTTCATCTCAAGACCTTGACTTGCCTTTCTTTCTCTGAATATCAAAAATTAGGTACCCAGAAATATAATTCATTATATGCAAATATCCTTTGTAATAAATACCACGTGCTACATTTATTCTATATTAGTGAATACTTCATACAAGTAGCTTTCAATGCAAATTTTTGAAGTTTACTTTTCTAAAAGTTAAAATTTTTTTCTTTATACTGGAAAATTTATAAAACTAAATTTTGATGTCTGATAGACACATAAGTTACACAAATGGAAGCAAATTACACTCTTACATAATACACAAGTAATTTACTATTTTTGTTTTTGTAGTCTTCTAGAAAAAGTTGTGCAAAAATTAGAAATTAAAATATAACGTTTTCTAATAGCCAAATAAAAATTTTTTGTCATTAACTTTACTTAAAAGAGTCAACACATGTTCCTGAAATTTGTAGCATAAAATATTCCATGGAGTATACATTTTATAATTTGTCAAGTTCCTTAGTCTTAAAAGGCAATTTAATTATTTTGTTTCTATAAAGTAAAATCAACAACAGCATGTCCAATTTGGCTATCTTAAAAGAAGGTAGATATATTGAGTAAAATTTTAAAGAAGGCATTTAACCAAGTTTATCATCACAGTCCTGCAATTTGCAACATAAGAAAAAAAAATTTTTATTATATTTTCCAAACTATGCTTTGAAAATAGTTATTTTCAAATAACTAAAAAATATAAAAACAGCATAGTTTTTAAAAATAAAATGTTATATATGTAAAAATTTGGCTATAAGTGTAGATAGTAAGATAGTTTAAGTGCTTCCCTTAATAATTCATTTCAAAAGGAATAAGTAGATAAAGCAAATATTATTTTGGAAGTAGTTGAGGAAACTGATCTACAAAGATCCACAATTGTACCCATACTGATTGGATAAATATGGATCTATAAAGATCCATAATTGTACCCATACTGATTTTCTCCTTCCCTTTGGCTTTAAATTCATACAGACGATGAAATACAAAATTAAATTACTCTCTTCTTCATCTGGCTTTGATCATATCCAAAGTCATTTATCTAAACCTAAGCCATCTACAGAAAATCAGTGGCCAAATCCTAAAGGTATCCCTTTACCTCACTGCAGAATTTCCCCAGGCTCCATGCTTGTCTGTGAGAATGTTGATAATTTTCTGGATTAGTTGAGTTGCTGTCACATGGTCACGATATTTTGCTGCTCTTATCAAATGATCACACATCTTCTCATCTTCTCGTTTCTCTGCAGAATACTGGGCACACAGTGACTTGGAGAGAAAAAAAATTAATACTATAAAAAATATGAAAAAAAACCTTTAAAATCCATTATGAAATAATCTTTACCCTAAATCAAAACAACCAAAATTTTAAATCTACTTTTACATTCCTCATTAACCTAACGACTGAGATTTAGTGATCTGCTCTTTCAGTAAAACATCCCACAAGAATTTACTTCTGTGAGGTCAATCATGAGATACACTCAGAAGTGATAAACATTCAAGTAGAGACCTGAACAATGAGACAAAGACAGTCTTGTAAGAAGCAGGGGCCCAGCACGACAAACAGCATGAAGTGAAGTTGCAAAGGACTTGAGACATAGTGAATAAGGAGAATAATGGTAAGAAATAATTTTCAAAAGGCAGGCCAAGGCCACATCATTTGTATTATGGTAAGGAGTTTAGATTTTATTCAAATGTAATGGAATCCCAGTAGAGAATTTTACGCATATAGCCGTTATTTAGAGAATAGATGGTAGTGGGACAAGAGAAGTGAAGTTCGCAGTTATGAGGCTACTGCAGAGGGCCAGAAAAGAGACAACAGCAGCTTACAATAGTAAATTGAGCTAGTTCTAAACACCTTTAGAACATGAAACTGTTTGGTCTTTTAAGTCCTAGCAAAATATACCAAAAGCACTGGGATTGCCTGGGATCTTATTTAAAATGCAGAGTCTCATGCCCCACCCCAAATCTATTCACTTTGTGTTTGAATTTTAATTCTCAGGCAATTTATATACATTCAAGTCTGAAAAGCACTGTCTTAGATATCAATTTTGCCCAAAAAAAACCTTAGAATTATTTGTCAGTAATCAGATACACTATAATTGCTAGTTTCCAAAATGCTTATTTCTCTTCTTTTGAAATTCAGAAGATTGTGGTGTCACGTTTATGATACTGTAGTTAAGGCATCGTTTAAAATAAGAAAACAAAGATGGATGTAAACTTGGTCCTTTGTTCTATTCAGTGTCTACTGGAGTCCTCCCCCACCACCCCCACACACACATCCTTTGATAGATAAATAACCTAAACTTGATGTTGGAACAAACATCACTAGTTTACATATAGAATATACACTGTGGAAGCTTGCCTCTCCTACGGTATACCAGTTTTGATAAATTGCTACCACGCACTACTCCCACCACCACCCCAGCAACAAACAGGAGTCCTGATTGTCCTAAACCAATCAGGTAATAAACACACTCACACTGGCAAACTGGATTAGGGAAGAACACTTGATGTAACTGGTACAGGTAGGGCAAAGTTCAAGATTTTGTTGGACAGTTAGTTCCCTCCTTCCTCTCAGGGTGTAAAAGAAGCAGCACACAATTCTAGGAGTATTGGAAGCTCTCTGTACCATGAGGGTAGCTGGCCTGAAGATACAGCCAAAATGAGAGCAGAACTATGAAAACTGAAGAAAAATAGAGCTCCTTCCAGATGGAATCACGAACTTCCGGATCAATCAAATTCTCAAGACCAGCCTACCTTTAGAACCCCTATGAGGCTTTTTAAAGACTTTTTTAAGAGCCAATAAACTCCTGCTCATTGTAAACCAGTAGAAACATCCAAAAAAAATGGGTTCTTTGTTCCTTACACCAAAAGCAATTCATCCTTTGCATGCTGTATATGCACATGCACAAGGAATCAAATATATATATATATATATTTTTTTTTTTTGAGACAGAGTCTTGCTCTGTTGCCCAGGCTGAAGTTCAGTGGCGCAATATTCTTGGCTCCTCTGCCTCCCAGGTTCAAGCAATTCTCCTGCCTCAACCTCCCAAGTAGCTGTGACTAGAGGTGCCTGCCACCACGCCCAGTTAATTTTTTTGTATTTTAATAGAAACAGTGTTTCACCATGTTGCCCAGACTGATCTCGAATTCCTGAGCTCAGGCAATCCACCAGCCTCGGCCTCCCTAAGTGCTGGGATTACAGGCGTGAGCCACTGTGCCCGGCCAGGAATCAAATATCTTAGTATGTGCAAAACACTATGCTAGGGAGATGAAAAGCTGAATTTAATAAAGAGGAATTTTAGAAGTTAGTTTTGGTTGGGAATAAAGGAAACCTTTAAAGCAAAGACAAGGCAGAAAAACAAGGGAGGGACAAAGCAAGAGAGTTTGACCCAAGTACAAAATACAGGTAGAACGAGTAACAGACTGCAGAAATTCTGGAATGCAGAATGAGTATAGAAAAAAGTCACAGGAGTCACAGTATACTTATACAAATGACTACAAGATTGGGAAGCAAAACAAAAACCAGGTTACGGTATCACCCTTGCTAATATCTCCTGTCAGTCGTGATCAATTCACTCATTTACCTCTTTAGGTCTAAATGTCCTAATCTGCAAAATTAGCAGATTACATTAGATCTAAGATTGCGTCAATCCGAAGATCCTGGGCAACCTCTGTGAGGGTACTTGAGGGTACCTGAGTTCAACATCTCAGAGACGTTCACTGGTAAAGGCAAACTGTTTATTTAAACACTGATGTGGAGAAAATAAATCCTAATAAGAACTAGATTAACTGATGAGAAATTAAAAGTAAACTTGATATACTGTACTTTTTTGTTTGTCTGTTTGTTTGTTTGTTTGAGACAGTCTCGCTCTGTCACGCAGGCTGGAATGCTATGGCGCAATCTCCGCTCACTGCAAGCTCCGCCTCCTGGGTTCACGCCATTCTCCTTCCTCAGCCTCATGAGTAGCTGGGACTACAGGCGCCTGCCACCATGCCAGGCTAATTTTTTGTATTTTTTTTTTTTTAGCATTGACGAGGTTTCACTGTGTTAGCCAGGATGGTCTCGATCTCCTGACCTCGTGATCTGCCCACCTCGGACTACCAAAGTGCTGGGATTACAAGCGTGAGCCACCACACCTGGACCATATGCTATATTTTTTTAAAAGATTGACCCAAACAAACCACAAGAGAGTTCACTTGTCAAAAATATGATTTGAGCAAATAAAAGAAAATGACTAAGAAATACATGAAAGGGCAGTAGTTTAAGTGAAGATAATTAGGAAATTATTTCATTGTAACAAAAATGTCAACTGATATGTCATATTGTTATATATTCACTCAAGAACTGAGAAACATTCTATAGGTTATTTCATATCTAACCCAACCATACACTAAAACAGAGAGTACGAAATGATAAGACACTCACAGAACCGTAAACTTCCAACATTCTCTACTATATATCCATTATCTGTCCTTGTCTAACTTCACCTAAGAGGAAATTCAAATCTACTGATGAGATTTACAAAATCACCGGTTTCTGAAATGCTATGAAACACCACATACCTTCATACTAAACAGTATTAAAAGTAACCAAAAACATATTATTAAATAGCTTATCATTTCTATCTCATTAATATTATAATAATTTAACATCAAATTATATTTTGTAAACATCTGATGAGCTACTAAAGTTTGTTCGAAAAGGCATAATTCTCAAAACAAGGGCTCAAGGTAAGCTCAATGGTAAAATGCTTTAAAGTGTTCTTTAATGGATCCTTCTTTACAATTTGAACAGCAACTTTTCATATCTGACATAAAATCTATAGATATAAATCACATTAAAGGGCTATTCTTTCCTGATTATCAATCTCTGTCTCTTTGTGGAACATTAGGGTCACATCTGACCTAGAAACATGATAAAAGAAAACCAAACAAGAATGTTTCATAAAGATATAATGAACTTGTAACTATTTATTTAAATGTTCTTATAATGTAATTTGAAGATGTTCTTATTTAAAAACCAATAATAAATTCTATGTATGAAATATCATTCAAAGTCATGTGGAGATAAGAAATATTTACTTTAGAATCAAATACATATTACTTATTTGTAGTATACATATTTGTGTATGTATGTATACTTGTATTTGGAGGTTGAGTGGAGGTACAAGAGACATTAACACATATTGCTATTTATCAGTAACATAAACGGTCAGATCTAAAATTTTCATTCAATTTTAAGGCAGAATTTTTTTTGTTTTATATGAACTTTTCTGTGTTCCTATTGTAAGCACTATATAAACTAGATAATATAACATCACAACATGGCCACAACATATTTGATTATAAAAAGAAAAAAAAATAAGCATTTGGGGAACAACTCTATTTTACATGATTATTGCTAAAGAAACCTAAGATTTGTAACCAAAGAATGAAGAAACTCAATATAGGATAAATAAAACTCCTCAGAAAAAATTCAGTCACTCACAGTAAAGAGACAAATTGACCATTTTAGCTCTTTAAATGTAAATGAATAGAGACAATATTTAATTTTTCCTTCCAGATGTCATGGCTCTACCTAATTTTACTATTCATCCTTTGCATGAAAGTAAGAGAGGACACAAACAAATGGAAAAACATTACATGCTCATAGATAGGAAAAATTAATATCGTGAAAATGGCCATACTGCCCAAGGTAATTTATAGATTCAGTGCCATCCCCACCAACCTACCAATGACTTTCTTCACAGAATTAGAAAAAAAAACTACTTTCAACTTCATATGGAACAAAAAAAGAGGCCATAGCCAAGACAATCCTAAGCAAAGAGAACAAAGCTGGAGGCATCACACTACCTGACTTCAAACTATACTACAAGGCTACAGCAACCAAAACAGCATGGTACTGGTACCAAAACAGATATATAAGACCAATGGAACAGAACAGAGGCCTCAGAAATAATACCACACATCTATAACCATCTCATCTTTGACAAATCTGACAAAAACAAGCAATGGGGAAAGGACTCCCTATTTAATAAATGGTGCTGGGAAAACTGGCTAGCCATATGCAGAAAACTGAAACTGGACCCCTTCCTTACACCTTCTACAAAAATTAACCCAAGACAGATTAAAGATTTAAATGTAAGACCTAAAATCATAAAAACCCTAGAAGAAAACCTAGGCAATAACATTCAGGACATAGGCATGGGCAAAGACTTCATGACTAAAACACCAAAAGCAATGGCAACAGAAGTCAAAATTGA